GAAAATAAAAGCCCGGGCTACTATTTTAAGTTTTACGGTAAATACATTTCAGTCCCTCCAGAAAAACGCGATTATGCGATCGCTGAATTCAATGCAAAATCAGCCAAAGTCCGCATATTTTTGCGGGGGTCGCATTTTTTCAAATACTCCGCAATTTCGCCGCATAAATTGCTGATTTCCGCGCAAAATATGCGGGGCTTGCATGATTTCATAATCCCCGCATTTTCGTCGCAAAAAAGTCACATATATCTTAGCAGAAAGTTGGAAAATGTTGCGTTTGCTTCACACAAGAGCAGCCACTTCCCCCTGTTGCCATGGGGACGTTATGAAGTGACGTAATTACGCGACGTGAACATCATTGAAAAGCTGTAAAACAGGAGCACACTTTATTTTTAAATATTTCATTTATTCATTTTTACTGAAGCTGTAGCATATTCCTCTAGTAAAGCTACAGAACTGGTTTGACTCAATGTTTTGTAAGTTTAATGTGTTTATTAAGGTCTTGTAACGCGTTGTGTCGGGAAGAAAAATAGGGATAGCTCACAGCTGAAGTTATTGCAGAGGCCAGACAGACTCACGGAGGCGATTGGCATCTCACAACTCGCACTTTATTCCCAAATCGAACTCGTAACTGTCTGTCACACGTTCTACCGTCCACATCGTTACTTAATAAACAAAATAAGATAAAAGTAGCATCAAACAGAAATTACCCGCACACATGGGGTGTTCGAGGCGCATGGCACATACAAATATAATACTGCAGACAGTTGGGAGCGCGCAGCTCTTAAAGGGGCCACACCTTATTTCCACTCGTTACAGTCTGAAATAAAACAAGATGAGAAATTAAATATTTCCAGCACTTTCTGTGATGTAGTATGCTTGCTTATCATAGGAAGTAATAAGAAAGGACTCTTTACATTAAGGTAGTAGCCTAGTGAGAACAGGGTGTTGGGGGAATCACTTTTTTTTCTCTTTTTCATCAAATCTCAGTTTTTGCAAGTTCCCGCAATTTTTGCAAGTTCCCGCAATTTCATCGCAAAAAATTGCATAAATATCCCGCATATTCCATCGCATTTTTAAAGAAAACGGGCCGCGTAATCAAGGATTTTTGCCCGCAACAATCACAAAAAAACTCCGCGTTTTTCTGGAAGGACTGACATTTTCGTCAGGTTAGATACTGATAATTATTCACCCAAACCCCTTTATCTAAACCTCTCTACATAACCGCCGGACTCGCGCGTCCTCCATGTCTGTAGTTTTTCTTTTAAACACTTTTCACTCGTGTTTGTAGTTCTAATTGAATCCTCGTCCAGCGCGCGATGGGTTGTGGGCAATATCAGCCGTTAGTGAAGCCAAAGCGTCTCGATCGCCTCCCGGTGGCCGGTCCCAGTATAGCTCATAAACCCCGCCTCCCCATGTTATTCAACGGCACGTGAGACCAACTAAACAATTAAATTACACTTCAAATATCGTTTTTCCAAATATGGTTTCTGTCATTTACTGTAGTTTTTATCACGCTGATGTAATTTCAAGTGTTTGTTTTTAAAATAAGTTTGTTTTTAGTTAGTTATTTGACGCGGTGGTGTGACGTCAGCTGTGATTGACAGGTTCTCTGAGCGAAGTAGTCACTGAAGCACCAACAGACTTTTTTTCGGGATCTTCGGAGGACTGAGGAGATTGGAGCTTTAAATTTAATATCTAAATTTCTATAATTAATTTTAAAAAAGTGCAGGAGCGTCTTCTTGCGATTGATTCTGCGAGAGTGAGGGCGGGGCCTTGATTTCGCGGCTTTACTTCTGGCTCACTACTGCGCGGGTCTGGTCCCGAGATCGCTTCTGCGCAGACTCAAGGTCCAAGATGTCAGCGCCGTATCGGGACACTGGCGGCTTCACTTCTGACCAATGGAAGAGAGCGAAGGGGCGTCGTCCATCTTTTTTTACAGTCTATGTTTGGGACGTTCTAATTCTATTTTCGAATACTATTTAGGATGGATAGTATGCGAATTGGGACGCACCAGTTGTCTCACAAATGATGGAAATTTCCGTCAACCGCAGGGAAAGAGTTAAGATTTTTTAATGTTTTTGAAAGAAGTCTTTTATGCTCATCAACGCTGCATTTATTTGATCACATATACCTTCCAAAGAAAACCATAATAATGTGAAATATCATTACTATTTAAAATAACTGTTAGTATTTGAATACATTGTAAAATCTAATGATGCAAAGCTTTATTACTCCAGTCTTCAGTGTCACATGATCCTTCAGAAATCATTCTAATATGCTCATTTGCTGCTCAAGAAACATTTCTGATTATGATAGTGTGTAGTTTACTGAAACTGCGCTCTGTAAGTGCACATTAATAGGTTCGGTGAACGAAAACACAAAGCTGTGTCAATAACTCAAAGCTTTTAAATGATCGCAAATGCAACGTATTTTGGGTGTGATCAATCACACAAGGTCTCGCGTTAACAAAAGTCAGATATTTCGGTTCCTGGCGCTGCGGTGAGCTGATTCAGCGTTGTTTAACTGTTTGGAGATTATGGAAATGACAGCCATGCTCCTTTTAGATCTAGTTTCGCGTTATTTATAGCACACTATCTCCATTGTAATCCGAGTAAGGAAGGATACCTGGACATCTTGCGCTTTTATCCTTGTTGTCATAAACCAACACAAGCAAGCAAGACCTCGGATAAGCTGAGCTAACACATTCCCGCGAACGCTTCCCAAGCTGTTTTAAAGGGATTTGTGACCTCCCTGCAACAATGAAGAGCACACAATAGCTTATATAGGTCACATCTCTACTTTAAACGGTTTCATACCCTTGATAAGGAAGCATAAGTATTATGATTGAATAAATATTATGCAATTTGATCATAGTAAAATTCTCAATTAATGTGGTTTATACACAGACGTCTGTCCTGCTTTGTTCTTCATTTCAATCAGGTTTCAATTGTTTTTTTTGCATATATGAAGCATTGCATCTGGTTAGCAATAAGCTAGTGTCAGGATAGTTTCACAGTGTATGATCTGACAGCTAGCATAATGCTTGTGTTTTTAGTGTGTAGTTGGAAGAAAAGTTAAAGATATTGCAAAATGGATAAGCTTGTGTACATACACGCATATCTGCATCAGCCTTTTCCACATTGTACTAGTTTTATTTTTTTGCTTATCATTTGTTTAAAAAAAAAACATAAAAACAGAATAAAAAAATGCAGAATTTAGAAATACTAAAATGTACAGTTAAATTATATATTTCTAAACAAAAAAACAATATCAGAAATATTAAAAACAGAAAAAAAAACATTTTGAAATATAAAAGTATTTTTCATTTTTAAATTAAACTCAGACATTAAAAACAGAAATAAAAAATACAGAATTTAGAAATATGCGAAATTACATTATATATAATTATTAACCATATGTATAATAAAAAATACACATTTCTTTGTACTAGTGTACTAATGATTATTTTACTCAATCATATCTATATTTTAGTTTCCTTCATCTTCCTAGTTTTGTAAGTATCATGAGCGTGTGATGTGTGTGTGCTCAAGGTTAGCGTGGAGATCTCGCAGCTGATGCTGTAGGACTCATGCAGGGCGATGAGCATCTGCAGAACAGGAGTGTGTGTGTGTGTGTGTGTGTGTGTCTGCAGTATGTGCTTCCGCTGCGCTTCTATAACCCCTCCTCCATCTCGTATCGGTTCGGCCTCCCGTGTCACTGGATATCCTGCAGTGGAGTTTTAATGCAAACACACGCTTGACCTTGTGAGAATATTCTTCTAACTTTGGCCTACTTAATTAATATTGCAGTGTGGAGCCGACATCTCCTCTGCATTGATGCTGCTTGTATTTCATGTAGAGTCATTTCTACACTGGTTTAAGCTCTTTTCTTTCTATTTATTTTATTTTATTTTTTTGCAGAGGCAAACTTTATTGATGTTATTTCTCATATTATTGTGAAATTTGGTCATATCGCCCTCCACTAAAGTGTAGTTCATGCTTTCAACTAAACTGATTTACTATTAATATAACGAAACATTCACCATTGAAATATTGCTTGCAAACTGTTTTATTTTGTGTTAATATACTCATTATAACATGCTATGCTTTTGTAGTAGCGGCATCTTCCACTCCTGAAAATAAATGAAAACAAACCTTCACCCCTTGGGATAAATGAGTAGAAAGTAAATTCAAATAATATGCAAATAGATGTTGTTGTTGATTTTTCTGCAGAGGTAAACTTATTGATGTCTGTTTACTGTATATATAATGAGTCAATAGTCAAATAATAAGAGTGTAAAGCTATGATATGAATGTGAATAGCAGCAATTTTTTTTTTTTTGAGAGTTTGATTTGGGGTGTAACAATATATCGTGTCACAATATATCACACTACAAAAATGCAACAATATATATATCGTGGATAGTTCACCTAAAATGAAAATTACTGTGCGTTAAGTTTACATTAAACTACTATATATGATGTTGAATATAATGTATAATAATGCAATGGGGGAATATTAATGGATCCGGACAAATGCCAAATGTCTGTTACCAGTAAAAAGTGTCCTACATTATTTTAAATATATCTAGTCAGTGAAAGAGTGCAAGCATATTCGTCTTAAATAATTCTTGTCAGCTTCAGAAATATTGTTATTCTGGATATCGTGGGTCACAATGTAATAACACAATGTAATAACACCCACAATGTAATAACACCCACAATGTAATAACAAATTTAGCATTTTAATCAACATTTCTTTTTTTTTGTTAACCTTTTACCATGTCTTGAGTATCGCAATAATATCTTATCATCGTGAGTTCAGTTTCGTCATATGTATCGAATCGTGACACCCCTAGAAATGATTGTATTCATATTGAGATCTCAGATTTTTGGGCTGGCATTTGTTAGGGTACACTGGGGTCTTTTTCGCAGGAGACTTCAGCAAATGTTTCTGATTCTCACGAGTTGTGTGATTTGTGATCTCTCCTGTCGTAGGGTCGGTGTACGAGAGAGAACTGTAAGTACCTTCACCCACCAGCGCATCTGAAGACGCAGCTGGAAATCAACGGACGCAACAACCTCATCCAGCAGAAGACGGCAGCAGCGATGCTGGCCCAGCAGATGCAGTTCATGATCCCCGGCACCACCATGCAACCAGTGGTAGGACACCTGACGCTTTGCTTTTGTTGAGCCTTCCACAGGGTTTCCGAGGGGCATTTTGCGAAAATTAAGGCCTTAAATGCCATTAAAAAGCATTACATTTTAATCCTACAGGCAGTAAAAATGTAGATAGTTTAAAGAATATTTTATATTATCAATTAGTTTCAATATAGCCTTCATAATTAATCATTTTAATTTGCTGTCACAAAATATGCATCAATACGTTAGTGTGATAAACACGCGGAACCAGTTCAGTGTTTCCCCTACGATTTTGTTTCAGGGGGACTGGGGGGGGGGGGACTGCTAGTGTTGCGGAGCGGGCGTGTTACGGATACATGTTGTAATTTTTTTAATTTTATTCATTGAAATCATGTATTATGAATCATTAAACTTATACAACTTTTTTTTTTTTTTTTATATGAAAAAAAAAATTCACACTAATTCTGTGTTGTGTTTTTTCTGGTAATAAAATGAAGACATAAAACACAAATTTTATCATAAATTTTAATCATATGAAATTAAATAAACTTTTTGTCAAAGAACTTGCTGCACAATGAGCTTTAGCCTACTACTGTTAAAATTAAAACATGGATTATTCCTTAATTTCAGTTTTGATGATAATTTATTTGGATAGTGTATTATTACATTGGGACATATATAAATTCTACTGTACAACAGTAATATATAATTTCTGTCAAGTTAAACCGAACTTTTATTTTGACGGGTTGCCGTGAAGACCTTTTGAGTTTGTGTGTTTATGTCATGATGATAGTTTTTCTCAAATGAAGCGGTGAAATGATTATGAAGTGACTTTCAGAGTGGATCTAGAGCCTGGAGAGGAAGTTCATGCATTTGTGTCTTCATATAGGCCAAAAAACAGCGCAAGCGTCACACGTGCTTCAGTGTGTGTGTGCGTGTGGTAAATGAAACTGCGCGTCGGCGGCACCATTCATTCACACAGAACATGCAGGATTCGTATTTAAATAGTCTTTGTGTTTTAATATTCACACACACTAGTCTACATCGCGATTTGATTTCAAGTGTACTGAACTGCTTTCTATTTATTCCTCAAATTTACAAATTCCGTGTTATACACTAAATTCCTTGGATTTCGTCAGCATTTTAGGGGGGGCGGGGGGTCGTTTTGGGGGGGCGCCCCCCCAAAACAATGGTAGGGGAAACACTGCAGTTTGGTAATTGCAATTTTGGTATAGTTTCATCATTGCATCATTGTCAAACTGAATGGTTGCAATTCAGAATTTGGGACATGTACATATATATATATATATAGGGCTGGGCTGTATATCGAGTTTGTACGATATATCGATATATTTTTTGATATCAATACCGTTTATATCGATACAGTAGTTTGATACGAGCACATCTGAAAAATAGCCGAGGACGCAGTGTGAGCTCCTGCAGTGAAAGTACACAGTACAATTTGTCCTAAACATGACACAAGCTTATATTAAGGGCTTCAAAATAACTGGGAAGATGTAGTTAACCAGTTTAAAGCAACTAGCCCTGTCAGATGCTCTGACAGTTACTGATAAATACTTGCGCTGTTTAATGCGTTTGAGATGTGGTGCTTTCCTCAGTGCTTAACTTCCAATTCACAGGCATATTCTCCATCTGCAAATGTTAGAAAGTCAAACAAATATGTCCATTTCACTGTCAGACGAGGACGAGCTTCTGCAAGTGAATCTCAGCTAAAATTCAAGCTTCCGTGAACGAGCGCCGCCGCGCGCATGCGCACCAAACAGACGCAATAATTCTGACTAAAATAAACGTATTGCTAAAATATTTGTTGTTGGAGACAATAACTGTGCCTTATGTGGAATTTTAAACCTACAAGTATATTTTTATGAAAGTGACCATTATAATGGGGTAATCATATGCAGGCTAATATAATTAGTTTGTGCTTTTGTTTTTATTTTTATTTTCATTTTTAGTTCATGCCTTTAGTCAATTTTTTGCACATAATATATTGCATAGCCTACATTACATTCACTATATTTGGTTCCATATCCTTCAATATCAACATTGTTTGTAGGATATCATTGGGCAGAATGTGAAATAATTTTTTAACAAATAAATAAAATACAGATTTTCTTTATCCAAATAGATAAACGTAGAAAGTGCCGAGATATATATCGTATAACGCCATTTAACCAAAACATACTGAGATATGATTTTTTGGCCATATCGCCCAGCCCTATATATATATAAAATATCCGTGGTTAGTCATGGGTCATGTATGACATTAATTTTTTTTTAAATGGCATTGAAAAGCATTACATTTAATTTGAAGATACCTGCAGAAACCCTGCTTCCAGAAGGGGAAGTTGTAATTCTATCATAATAATTGTAGTTTTCATAATTAGAAAGTATAGTATTTTAAGCTTTTAAAAAATGCATGCATGTTTTGCCAATCATTATTACATATTCGGGTCTTTAGCAGCCCAGATCTATATCTAACACAGATGGAACTGCCGCAATAGTATAAAACTCTCCTGATATTTTAATAACTATTACAAAAGTATAAAATAATGCATATTTTGTTACCTTTTGGAACTTGGAAGGGTTAAAGTTTTGCTTAGTCAAATGCTTTTTACCACTGTCGTCAGAGTGGCATTATAATGAAAAGAAAAAGAGCAATAATAATAGTGATGCTTGACTTTGCAAACAGCACTCATGAGAAATATTAAACAGCAGTATTTTAACACGCATTAAATTTGACATTTTGTTTCTTTTTTAATACCTTTTAAGATTTTTAATCTAACTGACATTAAAAACAGACTTTACAAATTTACACAATGGAGAGGTTAACAATGAATCTTCGGCTACAGTCCGAGAAATTTATCAAGCTATGGAGAAAATGGAAAGACTACATTCTCCCACTTAGACCAGACCTAGTGTAGACATTTTTAAAAATTTTAAGAAAAGAAGGGAAATCTTAAGAATTATTGAATAAGAGATACGAAGGATATGGAATGAAAGAAGTAATGATTGGAATAAAAATAAATACCCAAATTGGGAATGAGAGTACTTCTGGATTAAAATGCATCATCCTCAAATGTTTTCTTTTGTATATAGTTAATAAAACAAAAATTGAAAACGGATCGGATCTGGTATCCAAACTACAGGCAGAGTAATAAATATATAACTATATCTGAATTTACAAAAAAGCTGTAATATTGGGTTGGCTGACATTGCCTTGCAACATACTTTATTGTTACTACAATTGATGACTTTTATGTCCCTTTTTTATTTCTCTTATAATTTTGGATGTAATATCTGTTTCACAAAATATGTTTTGCTGTTTTTTTTTTATTTTATTTTATTTATTTTTAGCCAATATACCCAATTGTTGAATGCCTTGACTAAGATTCCAGGTACCATCCAATTGTAAGGAAATGTTATAATTACTGTAATAAAAACTTAAATAAAAAAAATTCTGTAAAACGATATAATTAAAAAATATTTTTAAATTTAGCAGACATTAAAAACTAAATAGAAAAATACAGAATTTCAAAATAGTAATATGTACAGTTAAATTATATCTAATAATAAAAAAAAAATAACAATATCATAATTCTATCATAATAATTGTTGTCTTCACAGCCTACATTTCCTGTCAGCCAAGGTCTGGGCTCGAGCCCTGGACTGAGTTACGCGCCGTATCTGACTCCCATGAGCCACGGCATGGGTCTGGTCCCCACAGAGATGCTCTCCAGCACCCCAGTGATCGTCCCGGGCAGCCCACCGGTCAACGTGCCGAGCTCGTCCTCCACACAGAAACTACTGCGCACCGACAAGCTCGAGGTAAAGCGGCACACAGAGACTTTATGAGGCCGTCATTTCATTCAGCTTGAGTCGAGTCGCATCATCTCTGAGCCAGAGTTAGAGTCTCAGTGCAATTATTGAAATCTAGACAAAAGGTATTATAAAACCTAAAGAATAAAAAAAGTAAGTCTAGTTCATGCTTTTAACTTAATTTTACTATGTAAATAATTTACATAGCAATGAACGTAGGAGATAATTCAGTATGCAATTAAATGTAAAAATAATAAATAAGACCAATCATATGTCAGTATGCAAATGAATGCAAGAAAGCATAATTCAGTATGTAAATATTAGCATCATCACTGTCGGCTAAATTCTGAATATTGAACATTTGAGTGAAGTCGAGATCACTGTGTAATACAATTAAATATTTAAATATTTAAATATTTAAAATACTGCTTGCAGAAAGGTTTGTTTTGTTAAAATGCACATTAAAATACTATGCTTTTTGGCCCCAAAAGGATCCAGTTTGGTAGTTGGAAGGACAAACTCTTAAAACTTAGTCGTCATACCTTGAACCCTTGGGTTTGACGGGTAGAAACAAAGTGAAATAAAATGTGCAAATAGATGTAAGAGAGAAAAGACAGATCACAATTCAGTATATTGCCAGACATAAGAGAGAATCTATCTGATATTTTGAGGAATCGCAATACAGTGTGCAAATAAATCACAATCATAATACAATATAAGATGTTTAGCAACCATTTAATATGCAAATATGTGTAAAAAAAAAAAAAAAAAAAAAAAGGACCATAATTCAATATAGAGAAATGATGAAAGAAAGAAAAGACCCGTCATAAATCAGAATGCAAATTGACGTAAGAGAGAAAAGGCCGATCATTCAGTATGCAATTACATGTAAAAAAAAAAAAATGGATCAATAATAATTCAAGAAAAGACCAATCATATGTCAGTATGCAGATTAATGCAGGAAAGCAGACCAGTCATAATTCAGTATGCAAATATTAGCATCATCACTGTCGGCTAAATTCTGAACGTTTGAGGGGAGTCGAGGTCACTGGGAGATTTTCAGACTTTAATGTTTAAGTTTATGAAGACCAAAGGCTTTTGTCTGTGTGTTAAAGATGGAGCTGAATTAATTGCAGAAAAGTGTGAGAAGGAGGATAGAAAGAAGTGTGAGGCATTTCAATTCAGCTCTGCCTTGCAAGAAAATGATCAGTGTGGTTGAAACAATAACAGTTGAAGTGTGTGTGTGTGTGTCACTAAATATGCGATCACTTAGCAACTGACTGATATCTGTGATAATAAGAGGCTTCGTTCCTCCGCGGCCCTCCCACACCGAGAGGCTGTCGCTGCTTTTGTTAATATTCAGCTCTATGTGTGTGTGTGTGTGTGTGTGTGTGTGTGTGTTTATTTGCCATACCTGTGCTCATACATGAAAGCTTTGTTTGAAACTTCAATGACTCACGTCTGTTTGCATATTTCTGTTGTGTTCCCTGTTCGTTTTGTCTGCGTGTTTGTTTTGCGTCCGCGACCGGCAGGTGTGTCGCGAGTTTCAGCGGGGAAACTGCGCGCGCGGCGAGACCGACTGCCGCTTCGCCCATCCTAGCGACAGCCCCATGATCGACACGAGCGACAACACGGTCACCGTGTGCATGGACTACATCAAGAGCCGCTGCTCGCGCGAGAAGTGCAAGTATTTCCACCCTCCGGCGCACCTTCAGGCCAAGATTAAAGCAGCTCAACATCAGGCTAACCAGACCGCCGTCGCAGCGCAGGCCGCCGCTGCAGCCATGGTGAGCCAATCACAGCATGCACAACTCATGTTCAAATAACATGCATACAATTCAACGTTTAAAGAGTCATGTTAGAGGTTTTTAAATTACACCACCAGCTGCATTTAATTTAATTTACTGCATTGAATCGGAACCAAGGCAGTGCTTAGAATTGTGAAACCTTTTCGGTTATGTGTACGATAAAATCAATTGACAACACATGTTGAGAGAGACGCGCCGGCGGAGGTTGCGATTAGCATATCTGATTATGTTAGCACGTTAAATGTGGAGCACTGCTTTATTATTATATAGCCATGACCCATCTCCAGAATCTGGGCGGGTTGCGTGCCAAATCTGTGTCGACTCCCTTATCTCGTCCCTGGAGGATTTTAGTCCTACTAAACAATGTGAGTAAAGAGAGAGAGAGAGAGCTGCTCGAGAAGACAGCCTTGTGATAAAAATCACTCCCCCTTCTTATCCATCTTGTACTATACTGATGCGATCATTATTAGGAATAGGATATTGATATAATAAGCGCGATGGCTTAAAAGCTTTTTTGCTCACACCCTTGACTACACAAGGTCACGGGGGCGGCTCACTTCCCCATTTCACTGCCCAATGGGAGGCCTACTCTTCTCAAATCAGTCAAGATTAAATTAAGGAGATGGATAGCATCTTCATGCCAAACTGACGTGAATGCACAGGTTCATCTACTATCCAAGCGAAACTGTATTTTGGTCACATGCCAGGCTGCTCTCACTTGTCTACGTGTCTACACTACAAGCGAGCGAACTTCGTGCACCATTATAAGCAAGCGATGTTGAGTTTTATTGCATTTTGCACTTGCAATGTAAATGGCACAATTTATGCATGTATGCAGTTTATTCTGTTGCATTACTTTCAGTTTCGTTAATGTATATGGCTTCGATTATAACAGGTGCTATCAAGGTTTGTTGCATCGCAATCTCTGCATGCATGCAATTTTGTTGCATGGCTTTGCTGCAGCCTAGGCAGTTTTGTTGATTTCTGATGGGAGCAATCGACACTGCAAGCAAGCCATGCAGCAAAACTGCCTTAATCCCTTTACAACCAATGAAAACACATGCACTGCAACTGAGTGATGCATCAAAACCAGTATTGCACATTTGCAGTGTAGACGGCTTTTTGTTGTTTATGGGAGCAACTGAGAGGTTTCTACATTGCAAGTCAGCAAAACAAAACTAGATGTCTCCTGTTACAATCAGCAAAACTGTCTACATTGAAAGCGGTGTGATGCAATAAAACTCGATATTGCATGCTTGTAGACTAGTTTTGTTGTTTATAATGGGATTTAATTTGTTTAGCTTACACTGCGTGCAAGGGGAATGTGTTGCAACAAAACTAGATCACTCCCATTATAATCAACCACACGAGATTGGCAAGCTAGCGACATAAAGCCAACATAAAGTCTGTCTTGAACCTTTTTATCTAGTTTTATTTACACTGCAACAAGCAATAAAACTAGTGCTCCTGTTTAAGCTGTCTACACTGCAAGCAACGCAATGCGATGTGAAACTTGTGTGCATGCAGTGTATTTATAATGATTTATAATGAACGCATCTTCTTTTTTCTACAATGCAATGCAATGCAAGAAAACTAGATCGCTCCTGTTATAATCACTAAAACTGTATACGTTACAAATTCACAATGCAATGCTACAAATGAGACAATTGCGTGAGCTTGCCGTTTATAATGGGAACGATCTAGGTCTATAATGATTGATTATAACGCCGAGGATCTAGTTTGGTCGCGTCACTCGCTTGCAGTGTAGACACAGTGTTTGGCAGCAAGCTTTCGCGCTTCCACATCTCACGCTGGTGTGGTTTTGTTTTGTTGCGTTTGCTGTCATGACACTCACATGCTTGGCCTCATTCGTTTTGCTGTTTGCTCCATTTTCGCTTTTGCTTTTGCCCTGAACCTTTTTTCTTTTTCCACCGTGGCGTCTGGGTCAGAAGGTGACGCGAGGACAGTATCAGCTCACCAGCCATAACAATAAAACAAGAGTGAAAATGAAGAGCCAGGTTTCCCGAGCGTACAGCGACCTGAGATAAACCGCCGGCTTTAGCTTCAGTTTAAACGCTGCTAGCCTTCAGGTGCACTGGCCTTTCCCTGATTATGATGTGATGACATCACAGATTTGTTTCTAGGGTTTAAACCAGGCCGCTTGCTGAAGCAATCGATCCCTGCACCCGCGACCCAAATGCGAAAGAGTTTAGAAGTGAGAGACAGATGACACGGACGGTTATAGTTTCTTCATTTTCTTGTCTTTTATTTTCTCTTTGTTTTGTTTTTCTCCAGTGGAAGGTTATGTAATTCTGTATGATAAATCCCTGTGGGTGGCATATTTATTTAAATGGTTCTCTCTATGTTGGCGGAGGGGAGCAAAACATGAAACTCTTGGTTACAAGAATGCCTTCAGCATGCACGAATAAAGTGCATCTTATTCTGATGTTTATTAAAAGCATACGTATAAGCTCTGTTCCTAAACCTACTGATCTGAACACCTAGACAGCACTAGACTACCGTAAACATGAAGCTAAGGCTTGTGCATTGTTATTCTGCTTTCTAAGAAATGCATGCGGCAAGTATCCTTCAGGGAGAATTTAATCCCAGAATGCATGCATGCGACAAGCTCAGTGTACAGTTAGATTTCAATGCAGAAAGTATCACTAAAATCGTTCAGTCATAAATACGGACAATTTGCTGCTGTGTATTTTTATGCTTAGAGTGTTAGTTTAGCAACATGCAAAAGTCAGACTTTAGTTGCACTTTGCTTGAGAAGTGTTATCTGCAGATGTAGTTTAGTTTTCCAAATGAGTCACTTATGCTTGAGAAGGTCGCAGCCTATGTAGACAGCAATGCAGCACACTAGGTTTTTGAGCAGAGCTTCGAGAGATGTTTTTCCTGTTAATAAAATGTTCCTCTTTAAGTGACTCTTCAAGTGCATCATATTTCCCTCGTACAACGCATTTGCTGTAATCTGTGACTATACTATAAAGAAGAACAGATGCATTTTTTTCTTTTCCACATTCTTTTTTCCTCTTTTATGTGGATATTCTGATTTGAAGCATTTATGCATGGCCCTCAGCGTCATCTCATTTCAAGCATCCTGTTTTCTTTACTAAATATTTTGCTGGCCGTCATTCCATTGAGCCACATCTTTACTTCTCACCAGTACTATTGCATGGCATTTTAGTAGTGAGGAATATTGGAGATCATCTATGAACTAGGGTTAGTTGCATATACTAATTTATATTAATATAAATATGGGCCACGTTTGACACCACAAGAAATATAACCCATAACCAGCAATGTAAAGGAACATAAATTGGATATAAGAATAAACAGAGCTCCACATTTTGTGATCAACTCGCATCAGTTGTTTTGACCTTTTACGCTTTATAAGTACAGAGTCATTTTAATCCCTTAGTTGGCTAGGAATTGCAACATATTGTGACACAAATGAATGTCAAGAAAGGCATTTCTCCTAGACGACTTGGCCTTGTTTACCAAGTGTCCTTTTATTTCCCTTTTGCTAAGTGGTGGTAAATGTCATAGCGCATGTTAAAATCGCCAGATGACAACCGCAGATTTCCATTGGCAGAAACATGATGCTGTTTGTACCCTATTCCAGTCTTAATTAGCAATCACGCAAGCGTTCAATAGATGGCACGCCGTCAGGCAAAGTTAATGCAGCCTCGGTATTGACTAATCTGACCAAACCAAGCCGTCGAGGAGATGTTGACAGCGCTCGCCCCTGAAAGGAAATGCCTAGCTGACATTCTGCCGTCATTTGATTTTAATCCGCCACGCACACAGAAAACCCTTCGATAGCGGATATCGGGTGCCGGATACGGTCAGTGTGTTTTATGCAGTGTTTGTTCTCTATTGATTTACTGCTAAAGATGATTCCGAGAGCTTTCATAGCACTAATATCTACAATCCCATTTGACTTTGAATGGTAAATGGTGAGAATCTTGATTTCTGACGCTTTTAACACAGGTACTGTAGATGCTTTTTGCTTTCGTACTAATTCAGAACGTAGCGATATGTTTCTTTGAGACGAGTTTTTTCGTTTATGTGCATGCCTATTGTTTTGTATGTGGTATACTGCATTCAGATTATTTTTGTTTTTGTTTTTTTCCTTCTCACCTATCCACAATGCAATGCTGTCCCCATGATGCACCTCTGCTTGCTGTTACCTGTATGTTAATACGCTTGAATCCCATTGGCCCACTGCCATCATGTGCTCGCTGCCTGCTATTAAAAGACTCAGTCGACTGCCAAAGCAATGAAGCGACCCCTCGAGGCATCTGTAGATCTGGTACTATGACCTTTCACCTTTTGCTTTGCATGTAGCTTTTTAATGTACTGTAGCAACTCACAGACTTTTTTAATTTGGCTTCTTTGTTTTGATAGAACAAGTAAAAAGTCACCAAGTACATGTATTTAGAAATTACCATCAGTCAATTTTGAAGAATGAATGTGTGTGTTAATTATTGAAGCCTAGTAAACATAAGTGCCTCTAAAACGGAGCGATGCAGCTTCGAGTCAACAGTGTGCATTGATATTTGTGTAAGTGGATGCGTGCAAACTCCGTTTAACTCACGCATGTCTTCTCTTTCCCGTCTTGTCGCCACGCTCAGGCGTTTCCCCATGGAGTCCTGCAGCCCCTACCAAAGAGACCAGCACTAGAAAAGAGTAACGGGGCCAGTACTCTCTTCAACCCCAGTGTCTTGCACTACCAACAGGCTTTGGCCAACGCACAGCTTCAGCAGCCCACCGCTTTCTTTCCCACAGGTAAGAACACACCTGCACACATACAAACCCACGCACACACACACACACACACACACACTGCTTCATATTAATCACCCCTAAAGGTTACACCCTTTTTCTCTCCGGCGTAACGTCTTAATAACCGAGGCCTTTAAACATGCGTTTGTCCCTTTTGCATGCAGCGAGTGCACGAAATACTAATGCAGAACTTCGAGGGAACTTCTTTTTTTTAACCAGATACGTTATTTCGGGAGCACTCCTGATTTGATTTTCACTAGTTAATGGAAGTTTGGGGTTCTTTGATCTAAAAAAGCATTGCCGGCCATAGATTAAATTAGAAAAAAGTGCTTTGATCTGCACATCTGTACGCTGTCAGATTAAATATCTGACTCCCAGCAATATGGGACAACACATAATGCCGATATATATATATATACGTGTATCATAAAAAAAAATTTGGATTACAATTAAGATATGCACAAAGTTAACATACAATACTCTTTGAAATATTTTGAAAATTGTGCATCATCTAATGCAAATGTAGAATTTGCAGATGCCGATAGCCTTTTAGTGGCTTAATATATTAATCTGCCTGGCCGATATATCGCTCTATCTCTACAAAATTGTAAAAACATTTTATATTTATTTTTGGTACAATATTTACTGCTATTTAAAAACAATAGATATTTGTAATTTATTTAAATAAACATGGTGATATATTGCCTATCATTGTTATCATTGTGAAATTGCTGAAATGACAAAAATTATAAATGTTTTATTTATTTATATATATATTTATATATATACACACACACACACGTTTATATAAATGTAAAAATGTACAAAATACATAAAATTAAACCTAATTATTAAATAAAGGTGTCGACAGTCTTCAAATGGCTAAATATTGCCTGGCCAATATATCTCCTGGTGAAAATTGCAGGAACATTTTGATATTTAATATTATATTTTACACAAAATGTATCCAAGATTAGCATGTCTGGATTTTTTATTTATTATTATTACAATTAATTTAAATGTTTATACATTATATATAATTCTTTTAAAACAAAACAATTTAAATTATTATATTTTACCAAACATTTTAATTATTTGCAAACAAAATTTCAGATGCCAGTAATTTATATACTTTAATTATCTATATTAATATTTTATGACCTATATTATTTACATTCATGCATTTTGCGTTCATATCAGTTCTTGCTTTGCCTGGGAATCGAACCCATGACCGTGGCGTTGCAAGCACCAACGCTCTACTGCTAATTATTATTATTATATTATTCTGTGTAATCAACTGAAAAGATGGTCCTGGCTGATATATTTCGATGAATCTCAGTAAACAATAGCACTATATTCCACCTACTGTCGTTTTTTACCTGTAGGCGTATCTACCGCAGTATTTTTATGATCATAAACACAGGAAAAACTCTCTGTGCGTCGGGTCTCGGAGCGAGTCCTGCAGTCTAATCCCTCGTAGGTGTATTTTGTCATCACACACCCACATGGTGGTTGTGTTTTCTTTTAGCTGTCCTCCTGTGCCCCCGTTCCTCCCTCTTCTCCAGCGCTGGGCCTTTTGTAACAGCAGTATGTCTATTTTAACCGTAGGAGTGGCTGTTCCCTCACCGCATGATGTGTGTGTGTGTGTGTGTGGCTGATTTTAGCCATCTTCCTCCTCTGCCCTGTTGCCCTCTTCCTCTTCTCCCACACTGCGCTCTAATTTCACAACGCTAAGCTCCTGTCCTCTCATTGCGGCCCTTGCGAATATTGATCCAGTTTATCTTCCTGGAATTCACCGAGGTTTTTACCGGAATGACGACACGGTGGAGCGAGCGATCTATAATGACAAGCTTAATTGGATTTGTATGGCATGCTGAATACTGAATCTCTGGCTCTGTCTAATATGTTTTTCTTCCCTATTAACCTCTCTCCACTCTTCACTGCATGGTCACAGGGTCAGTTCTGTGCATGGCTCCTGCTAGCAGCATTGGTAGGTTCCTCCTCTCTCTGTCTGTCTGTCTGTCTGTCTGTCTGTTTCCCACCTCACGTAGAGATCTAGTCGCTCTTACAGGTGATTTGAAGCTCGATTGACCCGTGACTGTAACGTCACACAAGCTACCACATCACAGTGGATCTGTGTTACTCTGCTTCTGTTCACCTGCAAGAGCGCTCTGTGTGTGTGTGTGTGTGTGTGTTTGAAATATTCGCATTTCTCTCTTTGGGGTTTTTCAATTTACAGTATTTTTTAATTATCATTTTATTTTTATTTAATACAGTAATTGTTTCTGTTTTATTCAATATACTTGAAATTATTTCAAATTCCACTTTTTTTCACAGTGGCTATTATTATTATTATCTGAATTCTATATATTTCATATTATTCAGTTTCTTGTGTCTTTTTTAAAATTACGTTTTTTACAGGGACATTATTAGGATTAGAAATTTGTTATAATGATTTATTTTTTATCAAATTTATGAATATTATACATTTATTTAAAAACTTTTTTTACAGTCACATTATTATTTTTATTGTTGCATTCTTTATATTTGTATGTATTTTAAATATGCATATATTATTATTATACAGTGGATTTTATAATTTTACTAATAATTATTATTATTTTAAATTCGTAGCATTATTTTACATGTTATATATTCACAATTATAATTAATTTCACACAGTGGCTATTATTTGTATTATTATTATCATTGTTTTAAACTGTCATGTTAAAGTCGTTTAAACAGCCAGATCCAAGCGAACAGGCTCTTAATAACAGGCATTGTCTTGTGTTGTGTGCTATTGATTGGGAAATTTGATCAGTTTCCTAGAGAAATAGCCCACTTGATCATAATTGACCATACAAACGGCCATTCCCTGTAGTTCGTAGGATCGATACTTCTCAAAAGTCTCGCCCGATGTGCGCGAGACTGGTTAACAGCGCATGCCGAACTAACCACCCATGCCAGACTTCTCTGGGTACAACTGATTATGGTGATACATTTCCTTGAGGTGATTGTAATCAGCCTTTTTCCTCTTGTTTTTGTTTTATTTTTTCCCATGCTTCTCTCGCTTTGCATCGTGATTGCATGCCATCTGCTGGTTTAACCTAACGATGGCTCGCTGCTCTGTAATATACACCATTGCTAAACCAAAAAAAACAAACAATCCTACCAACCAACCAAACACCTGTTGCATTGGTTTCCATAATGCTCCACCTACCTGTTCATTGCTTCCATGGTTCCCTTCCTGAAAAAGTACCCATGATGTACAGTGCTACGCCTGCTACTGTCTCTGCAGCAACAACTCCTGCCACAAGTGTCCCCTACGCAACAACAGCACCAGCCAATCAGGTTTGCTCCTTTTAAAAGCTTTCTTTCATAAATCCCTGAGCTCTGAATAAGCACTTTGCACTCGAATCCATTGGCAAAATCAAAAGCATTTATTCGGACGGATCGGTGCTTATTCAGAGCTCGCACATTGGCAAATAGTAGTTGTGTTGTGTTGCATTATTTTCTTGTTTTGTTCTGCATGTCCTTGCTTTATTTTGATGTCGAGATATCCTTCCTCATCCACACATCTTGATGACAAACAACACGTCTGGTGTCGAGCTAAACACACACACACAGTCATGTTTCCACTTATTCTCCCGCTCTGGGTTGATTTGGGAAAGCAGGGAGAAGGTGAGGTTTGCAGAACCAGGGCGGACGTTGCGACGAGGCGCTAAAAATGGTTCTGTAGGAGGAGGGAATGTGTGTGACGTTCACGAACCGGCAATTACAGCGTCCGAATGACAATAGCCCTCATGAACTCCTGTTGCGCACACGTCGACACCGTTTAATGGGCTTTCTGTGGCAAACCCAGAGGTCAGACTGCACCCACAATGTTATAAACGTTCGAGATCTCTTATCAGATCCCATCATGCGTTCCCCGGACCGCTCCCATTCTTTGGTATTGTTCACTCGGGGTCACATAAGGAGACTTTGAGGGCTTTCCCACTTCCGGTCGTTCTTAAGTGAAGCCTTCCTGTCACCGAGTGGCTTTTCCTGTTGTTTCGCGGGGCTTGAATATTCTCAGGAACTGGGACGTTTGTAGTCTCATCACGTGAAATTGAACCTGTTTCCTGAGGGTCTCTTGCCAGACGGTTCGAGGCTCTTCAGCGCCACCTGGCAGGAGAATGAAGTACTGCAGCTCACGTCTCGCCGGTCTCCAATCACGGTTAATTGAGCTTAAAAGATGAAGTTCACACAATGTTTTAATTGTACAATATCTTTCACAACCGATTGGGATTCAGCGTAAAGCAACACATCTTGACACTGAACATTTTTATTTGGATAATGCAAGAGTGCCCTGTTTGTGTGAAATTTTCACATTTTTCTGTGGTTTGGAAATTTGCACTATTGTTAAATTCATTATTAATAATAACTAGGGCTGTCAAATGATTAATCACGATTAATCACATCCAAAATAAAAGTTTTTTTAACATAATATATGTGGGTGCACTGTGTATAATTATTTTGTATATATATAAATACACACACGTGCATGTATATTTAAGAAAAAAATATTATTTATATATAACATATTTATATTTATATATAATATAAATTATATATAAATCTATATACAGTATATACATGAAAATATTTCTTAAATATATACAAGCATGTGTGTGTATTTATATATATATAAAATAATTATACACAGTGCACCCACATATATTATGTTAAAAAAACTTTTATTTTGGATGTGATTAATCACGATTAATCATTTGACAGCCCTAATAATAACAATAAAAAATATTTTTCAAAATTTTACATTTATATAAGAATAATAACGATGATATTTATAAAATAAAAATAATAGTGGTAATAAATACTATTAAACTTTAATATTATTACAATAAATATGTAAATGTTTGTGGTTGGAATTGGAAATTTATAAACAATGTATTATAAAACAATTAAATATTTATATCTTTGTAGTAATAGTTATCAATTTAAAACAATGTTAATTTTTAATTTATTTCAAATTGTTATTATTAATAATATTATTAATTCATTAAATACTATTTTAAATGTCAAAACCACTGAGAAACAAATGTGAAAATTGAAAACAGAGATATTAATAACAAAAACAATAATAATAATAATTTCATTAATGATTTGGTAATTATGTATTTGTATTGTATACATTTTTATATTAGTCATTTTATTATATGTTGTTATTTGATCTATTATTAATTTTATTTCAAAATATTTCAGATTCAGATTATTTAATTATCTTGACTTACTTGGAAATTTCAAAAATGTGAGAAGAAATTGATTTGATGGTGAAACCACTGATTTGTTCACTATAAGGCCAGACATATAAATTAAGAAAATAAATAGTCAACTTAAATTCTACGTTGGCTTGAAATGTGCAAAAACGCCACATTAATATATTCACGTTATACTTTTAGCAGATGCTTCTATCAATGACTCGTGATGTTTGCTCTCAGTCGTGCTTTAATACAGGTTTTCAGAGCTGAAGGAGGAACACAGAGGCCTTTTCTCTGGTGTTTGTTTGCGTCAGTCTCCGAGCCAGACAGACAGAACCAGCAGCGTCCGCTGAGTCATCGCCGCGAGCGCTAATCTCACACATGAGTTTAATTATGCAGCGAGAGAGGCATAAACAAACGCTTGACTGCTGCACAGACGCAGCTTTGAGGTGACGACTTTAGCTGGAGGCAGATGAACGCGGGTCACGTTATAATCTACTGAACTGAGGCTGTGTTGGGAATGGCACACTAACTCACTGCTTACTGCCCAGTACACAGTGCACACCGCCTACTCGTTGTTGAGGAGTGTGTGAAATAGTATGCAATATGCATTCAGAGTAGTTGTCACATGACAAACATTGAACATTAATTAAGGTTGTTACCTTACAAATAAATGAACATGCTTCTTTTTTTTTTATGTGAAAATGTCCTACATTTCGATCCTCACCTACAGTCTTGAATTAAACCTATAAAAATTCTGTTTGTTGTGGTAAAGTCAAATTAAATCACGTTTTTCACTTAAAATCAGTTGATTAGATTTTATATTTGCTCTACACTGAAAAAAAAAAAGCTTTCTGTGGTAACCTACATCATCATGTTTGAATCAAATTGACTAAATTAGGTTTGCTAATTTTAAGGGTTTCTGTAACAGGAATGCTTCAATTAGACATACAGTAAAATAACTCATTATAGCTTTTCCAAAACGTCACACATCAAAGATTTATGGTTATGCCCTACATATTACACAAATATATATTTTGTCAGCAAAAATGATATGTTAATAGATCTGAATCTGAATCAACTTTATTTACCGAATATTAGTATTACATGATTTATAGTTAAAGGTTTGAGATCTCGATTCAAACACACACGCGATCTTATTCCTAAATGACAACATGTATTAAACCTTTGACAAAATCACACCGCAACAATTAAATCTGTCATATATAAAACCGCTTCACAAATACTCTTTTCGTCCAAACAGGATCAGTATTTCTGTGCCACACATACTCATATTATCATATTATTCTGGGATAATAGTTTATAGTTCAGATCAAGCGATCAAAATAGAGCAAATCACATTTAGAAAGTCACATGACACTTCAAATAACAACTGTATCGCTTGTCATTGAATCATTCATTCAATAGATTCGTTCAGAAAACACTGATTCATCCGGTCGTGAAACAAGTGTTTCTGAGTGAGTCGTTGAATCATTCACTCAACCTGATTTTTTAAAATAATTGATTCAGATGAAATAGACTTTTGTCTAAACCTCTTGTAAATTACGTGTTCATTTGTTTAGTTGTCTGTTCAGAATCGTGATCTCTGTTTGAAACGACAAAAAAGATTCTCAATTTAACAAGCTTTACCAAGTATGCAAAATATACAAGGCGTCCCACATGTGTATGCCGTGTATTATTATAGTTGCAGATTATTAAAAATGATTAAATTACGGTTCTACACAAGAGAGGAAAATAGAGATGACGTGAGTGTAGAAGTCAGATGGTATTTAAAAGCTATTTTGAAATAATATATGGTTTTATTTGTCAAGAGAATAGGCCATTTCATATATAATTATTCATTATAATTTGAAGTTTTAGATAAAGCCGATACGTTTCTAGATTGGTCGACATTACGAGAATGTAATCGTTGAGGGAATTTATCATTATAATGACACTATTTTCTTTTCCAAGCTCTGTTGAAGCATTGATCTCTGTTTGCATCACTGAATCATTATATTCCTGCTTATAAAGCTGCTTTGAAATCTGTCTTGTTTAAAGCGCTGTATAAATAAAAATGACTTGATCGGAAACATGCCGTAGAGATTTCTGTGCTACTAACAAGTGTTTTCGGAAACACAGCTAGACTGTACTTTACCCTAACATGTATATGTGTACTTATAAAAGTGTTACATTAATAATTATTCCCCGCCTCTAGTTCACTCACGCTGAATTCTACACGCAGATGAAACGTCACATGGAGCGCGTTGCATTGTGGGAGTCAGTATCCCAAGCAGTGTCCTCAGATGCGTACATCAGGTTTCAGCAGATGTAGTAGGTAATGCGGGAATTTCATGCATACTATTCACAGTATACACACTGCATACTGCAACATAGTAGGACTTGTATGGCGGTATGCCAATCCGAACACAGCTTCCATACTGATTTCAGTGTTCTTGAGTTCAAATATGCTATAGGTCATCTGGGTATTCATGCATACAGAAAATATATAAGTGTGATAGTATGCCATTTCGAACACAGCCGGAGACTCTGTGTTGAGTGGGACTTTTGGTATGTGAACTGATGGGACGTCCCTGTGATGTGCCAAGAGCGCTGTGAAGAGTTCACGGGGCGCTGAGAGCTGTGTGTGTAGGGCGGCGGCGCCCCCTCCTGGACAGAGAGACGAGCCACTGAGATTTAAGCTTATTTAAATGTAAAGCTTTAATCTAATATCAACGTTTATGAAACCTTGCGTGCATTTAGCAATTACTTGATATTAAAATAATGTTTGTTACCATGTAGCTTAAAAAAAATCAAAAAGGCTTCATGAGTTTTTAATTCTTGGCTGTAGAATATATATTTTACAGCAATATAGAATAATATATAACACATATTTTAACAGATATGCACATTTAAAAGTCTATAGAATCAAACATTTACATTATATAATGTATGTATTATTTTAATAATGTATATTTACATACATAATATATGTAAAAAAAAACTTCACATATACACATTTACAAATTTAAAGAATCAAGTATTTACCTTCTATAGTGTATGTACTATTTTAATAAAGTATATTTACATTATTAATATAATTGGTATATATTGGTATTTTTTAAATGGATATGCACGTTTAAAATTGACATTTCTATATTAATATTATTTATGTAATGTATTTAATGTATATTTGCATTATTAATATAATTATATTTTAAACAGTTATTAAACATATATTTAAAAAAAACTTCACATATACACATTTACAAATTTAAAGAAATTAAGTAATTTTTTTATAGTATTTTTATTAAGTATTTAAAATATTGTTGTTTTAAATGGATATGCACGTTTAAAATTTAAAGCTCTAGATTTCTATATTAATATTATTTATGTAATGTATTTAATGTATATTTGCATTATTAATATAATTATGTTTTAAACATAGGTATTAAAAATATATTTTAAAAAACTTTAGATATGCTTGTTTACATTCTATAATGTATGTATTATTTCAATGAAGTATATTTACATTATTAATGTAATGGTGTTTTTTAAGTATTAAAAAAAAATTAAATGTAAAAATCAGATATAACTGAAAATCAGATTTGCACATTTACACTTTAAAGCTCTAGAATTCTATATTTATATTATGTAATGTATTTGTTTTTATTTTATAGTGTATATTTACATTACTATAGTGATATTTACTGTTGCTAAAAAATTACAAGCTAAAAAAATAATTATATCTAAATAAAATATAATTGCATATATTTACACTATGTAATCTATTTATAATAATTATTAATATTATGTAATAGTATATACTGTTGATAAATTACATATAAATAAGTCTATATATTACAATAACTGTAAACAGTTACAATAACAATTATATATATATTTATATATGTATATCCTAGCTCCCTCTGTTTATTAATAGCAAGTAGCATATAATGTTTTTTTCAGTGTGTCTAACATTGGTACTTAATTTATGACAAACTAGGACAGAAAACTGCTTGTCAAATTGCTCAGGGGGTCTTTAAATGCTTTAGTCTGAAATAAATTACATTTATTTTTTAATAGCAGCTAAACCTGGTTTACATCACATACAATATCATGATCCGACATAGAGTCGCTGTTCTCTACATTGTCATTGTGTCATAGCTTGCATGTGAACCCTCTCTGGCCTTGCTTTCCCATCATGCCGCGGTGTCACACTGCCTTTACCTCACAACGCTGACTGTGTTTCATGGGGACTTTACACGTTTGGTGACTGAACGCTTGATCATACTGCGCTTCTACTGTTGGCTTGGGCTACTTTAATAAAACATCTCAAGTTGTTTTGAATCCAGGCAAAAGATTAGCTATACGACCCACACACTTTGCCAAGTGCCTGTGGGTGAATTGACCAGCTATGTCATTAAATATTTTTGATTATATATGATGTTGTTTGAGGCATTTCTATTGGTTTACTTTACTCCCACGTGCATGCATGCATGCAGAAGAATTAAAAACCTGCAGAAAAACACACAAAAAGACATCAAAATATTGTACTGTGACCCGAGGCCTTGCCGATTCCCACCTCTAATAAACGCTGTTATATAACCGGATGAAATGACTGAGACCGTATCCACAGTTTGAGATGGAGACCCGGCTGTGTTCTGACTCGCATACTAGCATACGACTCTGCTATTTATGCAGTATGCGACACATCATTTTTTGTATGCATTGATTAGCCTGCCAAAGTTGACATTTTAACACGAAATTGCATAAAAATAACATGGATGCAAAAGTTTTTTGAAAGAAATTAATTCTTTTATTCAGCGAGGATGCATCAAATTGATCAAAAGCCACAGTAAAAGGCATTTATAATGTTACAAAAAGCTTAAGCATCAGATCATCATATTAGAGGGATGTCTGAAGGGTCATGTGACACTGAAGACTGGAGTAATGATGCTGAAATATTCAGCTTTGATCACAGGATATAAATTACACTTTATTATATATTCACATAGAAAACAGCTGTTTTAAATTGGAATAATATGTGACAATTTTTACTGTATTTTTGATCAAATAAATGCAGCCTTACTGAGCAGAAGAGACTTCTTTCAAAAATATTAAAACATTTATTGGAAGTGTACATTATTATTTAACAAATATGTATCAACAGAAGCATGCAAATAAGACCAAGTCCTTTGCATTTGCTGCCTTTTGCACCTGAAAAGACTAAACAATCTTTTTTAGGGAGGATCTTTGAGTACAAACACTACATTAACACGCATACGCTCAATAAATAGCATGCACATCCCTCGCTCATGTCGTATCGGCATCATCTCTCTCCACACGGGCTCCTTTTGAACAGTCATGTAGCCTATGAGTCTGAGTCTTTAAGATGGATTATGATGTTTAATGGGCCTTTACTAATACTCAGATGCTGTTTTGTGTTTGTTTTCCCACAGATCATCTTGAAGTAAACCACCGGAGAGGAACGGGGTGTCAGGAAGCTGCTTTGAGAAACCCAAAAAGATCCCCGTGTAAATACGACCTGCCCTCCCCGATAGAACTACAGCAACCTGCATGATAAAGCGTAAACACATTAGCAAGCCACAACACACACACACACACACACCGTATACCTGTTATGCTCAGAAAAGCGACTCAACCGGTTTCTAACTAACTTCAAAAACAAAAAATATAAAAAACGAAACAAGAAAATATATATATATATATGTCAATGTACAGCACGTTTCATAGAGGCATAAGTGAGATTCATCCGAATGATCGTCACCAGTCAGATAATGTGTATTTTTCTCCCATGGTCGGTTGTTTTAAATGAAAAACAAATGCACAATGTTCACCCTGAGCGGACGACAAGCGCAAACACACACACACACACACACTCGGTTTGCACTGTCAGAAATAGTGCTTAATAATAAGTGCTTGATTGTCTTGAACGGGAGGACGTCTCCTGCAGAGTTTGTCTTAACATCCCCATGACCCTCCGGATAGGGGAAAGGGGGGTTGCTTGATTTATTTTTTGGATTTTTTTCTTGTTTTAATACACCGAATGTCACATGGTGGACAAAAAGAAGATTGTCTACTGGTCAAAAAATGCGCCTCCCTCCGGTTTCTCCTTCTTGGACTTGAGCTGATCCGTCTTCGCAAGCGGAAATGATTCGTTTTTTTTTTCCATCCCCGCCGGCCAAAGAAAGGGTTACTGTGTGAGAAGTGCGAATGTGGCAAACCACGGTGCCATGCAACCACCTTTCTGTCTCTGCGAAACGACTGTGTTTTACTCCTTCCTTTATTATTTGTTTTTAAGTGGACGGTGAATGATTTGGATGTGTCCGTGGGAACACTGGCCATCAGGGAGTCGACTCCGGCTTCTATCCCGTGCCAAGGGCTTACATTAAACTGGAGAGCTGCTGTAAAACAAACTCACACACGAGACGGACTTCTCCAGTTTGCCTGTTCGTCGTCCCGATCACACGGTGCCCAGCGAACCGTGAGGAGGAGGAGGAGGAGGAGGAGGAGGGGGTCTGAAGCGTCGAAGTAGACCATCCCTGACGCGACGTCTCTCGCCGATAATCCTGTTTTATTTGATAAACAGTTTAGAAGTGCCTAAGAAATCTATTTTACACAGCAAGCATCTTGAGAAGATGACTTTATGTGGGGTCGGGGGTTATAAAACACTCAAGCGAAAGCTCCCGAGATGACCAATTTGGACAAAAGAGACGAGAAACACGTAGACGTCAATGCATTTCATACACATGGTCTGTTTCATTTACCGTACACAACATGGTGCGAGACTGAATAGCTAGAATGTTGATTCTGTTGACGTCGGAAATGTAAAGGACGAGCTAAATGTCTGTGACGTTCGAGTTTGGTGGACGATTGTGTTCTTAACCAGTTTTGGACTGTCCGTTCTGTCGTTTTCTTACTAAACAGCATCGTTTCATGTTTTTTTTTCCCCTGGGATAAGTGCACACAGCCTGATTTCTGATGGGCGAAGCGTGTGTGCATCGATGTGAGCGTGTGCATGCCTGCGTTACCCATCCAATCAGAAACATCATGTCTTTTCATGGTGCTCAGTTAAAGCAGACAATCCACAGAGACGTTTGGTTTCGCAGGAATATGGCACTGGTCTTAGCATTTTTCCCTTTCTTTTTTTTTTTTTCTATTAGGGCTTTTTTTTGTTGTCCAAAAGTTACAGTTTTAATGTAATTTTTGAAGTGGAAAGTGATTTAAATATATTTTATCGTCATTCTGTTTTGTTAAATGCTAGAACACGAAACAATGGTGTAACCTATTTTAAAAATGAATGTAATTTATTAAGCCAGGCTTGGCTTCGCGCGGTCGTCCTCAAAGCGACGGCGGCCTCGGCCAATCAGGAGCCGCTTCTAGATCTCGCGTTCGGGGGCGGCGCGCGGCGCAAGCGCAGGCCGGGCTGTAGAACTGCTTGTGTTATGTAAAAAAACCAACAAAAAAAATGTTTATTGTATAGGTAATGTTTTACCAAAAAAAAAAGAAAAAAAGCTAAAATAGAAGAAGAAAAAAAAAAGTAAAAAAAAAAACATTCTCAGTAGTATGATAGTTATTTCATAATAATATTAAGTTGTTGCTGTGGCAACCTAAAGTTGCGATACTAAATTTTGGTATTTTTGTAAATGATGTAATTGTTAAGTTGATTCTTTCCTTTCATTTTTTTTTCTTTCTTTTAGAGCACTGCAAAAGGTTAGATATCGGAACATTTCCTTGTTTATGTCGAGATTATATTACCGGGAGATTTCTCCGTAGCATTTAACAGTGTAACGTTTAAGATAGTAGTAAATACTCACCAGTTACAATAGTGTGACGTAACTTAAGAAGCGTTTACCCCCTTTTTTAATTGACAAAAGGATCTCAAGTACTTGTAAAGATCGTTTTAAAAAAAAATATTATTTATGAAAGTTGTCCTGGTTTGTTCTACAACCCGACGATTGCACTTTGATTTCCTGTAACTTTAGGATGTTCATTTCAAACCGATGCACAATGAATATGGAATGGCGACGCAAATCAATGATGGTTGTTTTATGGCTTTTAGTTGAACCGGAGAACTAAAATATTCAGTAAGCATCTTGCATGGTATTTTATGTCAAATTAAGAAGTTATTTTCAATTTAATCTGAGAAGATAAAAAAAAATGAAATATATTGAATGTTTCTATCTACACTATAGAGAAAAAAAAAATCTGCACATGTGATGAAAGTAACGGATGTTGTTGATTTGGGATTTCTCGCTCCCCAAATGAGTTGTTGACTGATGGGTAAAAGAAGCACTTTGGGATCAGTTGATATACTGAGCAGACACAGCGTATCCAAACACTTTGCCTTACCTTTAGTCCATTGATTTTAAGCTTTTGTGTTTCAGAGCTATTAATATGTACTAGGGTGTCAACAGGTCTACTGAATTTACTTCTCACCTCCATCTATATATGAATATACTATACCTATAACTAAGACATGTAAGAGTTTATCATTATGATTATTATTATTTGGGAGTGTTGTCACCGAGAGGCCGATGGCTTTGACGGTGTTGATGCTTTGCAACGCCCCGCTCCTGCTTTCAGTGGGATTGTGGGTATTTTTACGCTGTGCTGCTTGACTTCCATCAGTGATGATGCAGTAGCCCATCGACACATTCACAGAGATAATAATAATACCAGAAGAAAATTGTAAACCAAGCCCTCTTTGGATGATATTAGTTTTCATGTAACCATTTTAAATGTTTTATTTGTGCATATATATATTATGTGCTATTTTATGTCATATAGTCAAATGTTTTTGGTTCCAGAAAAATAGTGTAAAATCTATTGAGACAAAATGAATAAAGAAAGAGAAAAAGGATGGATGGACGTGTGCTTTATTGTATTTGCATGATAATCTGCGCTGACAGGGTTTCTGCGGCTCTTACATCAGCAGAAAGATGTGGCGTTCATTTTTTATTTTTTTTATATATATATTTCTCTGCATTTTTTTTCTTTTCTAATGTGAACGTGTTTAAATCAAGATACATTTACTTGAGATGCAAGTGTAAAATAACTCATTGTGAAGAAAACGAGAACAAATATCTGTCAGTTAGTTATAAAAACTTCCCATTGAATTAAGTTTTTCAGATATTTGTTTTCATTTTAAACATAAACATTTTGATCAATTTCACAGAAAACAAAACTTCATATATTTTGTGCTTTTGCCGCATCTTGATGTAAGACTCTTTATGCAGTTGCACTGGAAAACAAGTCAAAAATCGAGGAAAATCATGATTTTTTTTATTTATTTTTTGCATTATGATCAGAAGGTTCAGTAAAAGATGTAGTGTTTGGAAGCAAAGCGATTCAAGCTACTTTTTTTTTTCTTTTTTTTTTTTGTAAAATGAATGAAAAAATAATGGATATCTGTTGTAAGTTATATTTTCAAACTCTGAAGTGTTGCTTGTACTCAGTGTTTCTCCCTTAAAGAACATATTAACATATTGTGTTCTCTTCAATTTATCCCTTACATTTTCTTTACTTGGTCTTAAAGAAGTCTTTATAAAGTACCTTCATAAAACCTGCAGAAACCCTGAACAAGTGCCATGGTTTTTTTAAATGGCTAACTCAGTTTCCATCGTCTTTTTGCACAGTTTTGTTTTAAAACGAAGGGAAAATGCATCAAACTAATTGAAATTTTCCATCTCCCAAATAAATGTTTCCATCCAATTGTCTTTTTACTGATAAAATTGTGTGTAACGGAAATGAATATTGTAATCATAATAGTATTATCATCTGATACCACCCTTTAACATGGTAGGGAATTAAAATATGATATTTAAAACTGAGTGATCTTGTATTAATTGTGTTACTCTTGGAACGAATAGTTGTTGGAAAGATTAGTAGTTTTGTAATGTGTATGACTTTTCTGATGGTCCTTTTTGAAGTACATTGATTTGAATTGCTTGGAAAATAACTCTGTTGCACTGAAGAATAAAAGTCACAGGATTGGAAAGTCATTAGGTGAGTAAATATTACAGTACGACTGGGCTAAAGGCGCATTTGACTTTATTCTCTTTTAAACCACTAGATGGCACAGAAACTCAGCTCAGCACTTTTATTAAAAAGGATTTTCTGTGGTGAAAATCCAGCTTTTAATGTTGTTTATGTGTCTATGTGGTGTTTTTAATACGCTTTAAGACAAACCATGTGTAAATTCATAAGTCGACAGCATTGCGGAGTATTTTCTGCTTAAAACTGCAGTGAACCAAAGACAGTCTCAAAAACACGGTTTGAAATCTGGTGTTTCTGACGTCACAAACGACCTTGTGACCAATCAGATCAACGTGTGATCATCAACCAGTGGATCTCTGAGCTGAGTGAGTGAGTGGAGGCGGGGCTCATTTGCATATTCATAGGATGTTTATGCTCCATCGCAGAAAGCAAAAGTTAGTTCTGTGCTAATTTGATCAAATTTTTTATGTTTTTAAAAATGTTGTAGATTTAAGTAGACAATGAGAATCGCTAAAATTATTGAATATATTTTGAGACAAAGGTATTGTTAATGATTTTCAGTTTTGTTCAAGGTAATTAAAGCAACGGTTTTTCAATAACAGAAGAATATGTAAGGCGAAAGACATTTAACATGATAATAATTTGTTGACATGAGATGGTTTGATGGTAAATATCATATATTAAGTTGTGTGTCCACCTTAGAGATAATCATATTTATAATGAAACCATATTTAAAAAATATATTAATCATATCATATAATAATAAATGTTTTATTATTTAATAGTTACTACTGTAATGGTTATGGGATCTCATTCAATGCTTTCAAAATCTTTACTTTTTAAAATAATTTTGTTTCAATTTATCAAATATTTTAATGACAGTATATTTATTGAAGAATAATGAATTTTTTTATTTTTCAAAATAAACCGAAAATAGCACAAACTTTGCTAAAGTGATTGTTTTGAACAAGAATTAACTTAGACTTTATTTTAAAAAAAATTATTATTGTTATAAATATGTATTTTCCCTGTGCTGGTTTTACACTGTCTCTGTCGCCACCTCATACATTTATACGATTTTTAAACCAAATATACCACTTTAATGATTCATTTTCATACAAAATCAATGTTCAATTAACATTTTTTTCTGCAATCATACTATTGGAGAAGTGAAAAGCACATTTTTCTGAAGGTGTGCCTTTAGCGGTTTCATTTCATGTGATTTATTTGGAAAATGTATTACTTGCACAAAACTTGTTTGGATGTATATCCATGCTTTATACTGATGTAACTCAAGCCTGTCTAATGAAAGCTGTATTCCTGACATCATTTATGAAGAGGTAAGAACTGCACAACCCATATTCCTCTGTAGTACGGGCCTGTATTACATAAAGACTTCCTGAAATATGTATGAATGCCATTGTATTATATTTATAGGCTATCTTAAAATAAAGATAGCATGCTATTCAAGCAAAACATTTGGTCAGTTTGAAATGCCAAAACAATAGATGGTGTTTAAAATGAACATTTGTCGTTAGCGGAACATGTTGATGAGCTACAGTAATCCTGCAGATGTAATGAATGAAGTATTGAGATAGACTCAAGACAGACTCGCGGCCTCCATCAGTGCACACACACACACACACACACACAATGGCCGCATCCCTGTTGCTTCTATTTCAGGTGCTGATGCAGGCGACGCGCTGTTGCCATAGGAACAGCATCATTTATTGACACTCCCCCTGCGCCGCCTCTCATTGGTCGCTCAACTGATCCTAGAACCAACCGCGCCGAAGTTAAAAGCGGAAGTCCCGCCCACCTCACTCAACCATTGCCTTATTAAGAACAGTGGGCGTGGCTTATCGAACTCCTCCGCGCCCATTGAACGCTCACAGCATCAATCCCGCTATAAAACTCGTATCCTCGCCCCGAGACTGTGTTCTGGCTCCAGAAGGTCTCCACCCGAGAGTATATGGCGGTTGAAGATGCTGTAAGATGCAGAATAGTGTGCGCCTTCTATTCTGGGATGCATCAGGGAGGGGACGCGTGATGTGTTCAGCGTTTGTATGCACGCACAGAGGTTATTGGTTCTTCACGCAACTGTCGGGTTCTGGCTCTTCTACATGGTTACGGATGCCATGAAGCCCGCGCGGTGGCTCTTTGCGCGCTTCTGTTATTTGTCTCTATGGTGAGTGTAACACCGCCAGCCATGGCTCCTGGTCTGCTCGACTTCTGCAATATTCAATGCAAGTTTCCCATCGCTTCTGATCGGCTCGGACACTGTTAGCTGGTTCGTTTACGCGCGTCACTCGGTTCGGTTCTGTGCGCAATGCGCGAGTATAAGGTGGTGGTGCTCGGCAGTGGAGGGGTCGGCAAATCTGCGCTCACGGTCCAGTTCGTGACCGGGACCTTCATCGAGAAGTACGACCCGACCATCGAAGACTTCTACCGTAAGGAGATCGAGGTGGACTCGTCGCCGTCGGTGCTGGAGATCCTGGACACGGCCGGTACCGAGCAGTTCGCGTCCATGCGGGACCTGTACATCAAGAACGGCCAGGGCTTCATCCTGGTCTACAGCCTCGTCAACCAGCAGAGCTTCCAGGACATCAAGCCCATGAGAGACCAGATCATCCGGGTCAAGAGGTAAGAGACTACATCACTGCACTGTATTGCAATCAATCATGGACATGCATGGTATTATTCGAGGGACCATTTGTTACAGACATGTAAGTTGTTCTTGCCATGTTTCACACATTATGGTATTAGCTTGTCATTTTAGAGGTAAGAGATGTCCTTCTTTAGACAAAATCACTGCATTGTATTGCAATAATCATTGATATAGACCATCTAGTACCATAATTATAACATCATTTTACCATGACACTGCCACAATATTTTTCATTTTGTTGTAAATTCAAGGTGAATAGAAATAAACCTACAGAAAATAATGGCATCCACCATGCAGATCTTAAAGTAGTTTAATTTTACCATGGTACTGCCACAGTACTTTTTATATACACATTTTTATGACTTATATTAATATGATAATCATTCAATAGCCTACCATTGTATACACACTGTATTAAAGAACCTCTTTGCATTGTATTGCAATAATCAATGATGGAAATACCATGGTATTCTTTGATATTACCACCTAATATGATTTTAACACTAGTTGAAGTCCATGATGTGCATATCATATTTCTTTGAAACACGAGAACCTCATGACAGCAAAATTACTGTACTTCCACCGTGTTTTTGTCAGTGTTACAGACATTTAAGTTGGTAGTACCATGTTTTGCCATGGTACACATTAAAGTACCATGGTATTAGCTTGTAATACTATCATTTTACCATGACATTGCCACAATAGTTTTTTTTTTAGAAATTCAAGGTGAATAGCAATAAACATAGAAAATAATGGCATTAATGCAGATATTGAAGTAGCTTGTGATACCTTCGTTTTACCATGGTATTACCACAGTACTTTTTTATAAGCACATTTTTATGTCTAATATTAATATGATAATCATTCAATACCATCAAATACAGACTATATTAAAAAAAACATGGCATTGCCATCATTTTACTGTGTACTTCAGTGATGTGAAAGCAGTAATAGGTAAACTTAAAGAAGACAATGGTATTACCATGTTTTTCGACATGCACCATGCATATTATTAGCATGTGATACTGTTATTTTACCACGGTACTGCCACAGTTCTTGTAAATGCAAGGTAAAAACAACAAAGATGGTATTACCATGTTTTTGGACATGTACTGTGGTAAATATTAAAAGTACCATGGCATTAGCATCTTATACTATCATTTTACCAGGGTACTGTCACAGTACTTTGTTTGTAAGTGTTATTTGAATGTGGCAATCAAATCTCAATCAATGAATGTGAATATCTGTATCATGTTACACACTGTATTAAAAAACCCTGTAAGTCTGTAAAGCCCTAAAAGCTGGTAGTTTGTCTTCTCTGAGCGAGGTGAACTTTCCAAGGTTTTCTCAGTTAAGAAGATGGAAACTGTGTGTGTGTGTGTGTGTGTGTGTGTGTGTGTGTGTGTGTGGAATAATATGACAGTGCCGTTAATAATAAGTCCAATGGGAGTCAGCGTCTGTTATAATCTTTCCGTAGTTTAACCTAAGGCCTAGAAACAGATGCTGTATTGTTTGTGGTTTTTTCCACATTGAGGTTTGAACACACTGCTTTCATAAACAGGACCTACATAAACAATTATAAACCGAGCGTGAGGTAAAGCACAAAGAGACAAAAGATTAATCACTGAAGCTGCAAAACCTGAAAGGCCTGAATTATCCTGTCAGAACCTTGAAGGAGAAAAGCTTTTAAAAAGCTCTTATTTATGCACTTTTCCCATATTGTCTTCTGGCATTTTCTGTGTATTCAGATGTGTGTGGTTGATCGTGACACATACAGTAACTTGCATTTGAATATTAAAAGCTCCTTTAAATATTGCCTTATGGTGTCATTATGAACAATAGAGAGAGGTTTAGTAGCGGTCAGTAATCGGACACTTTACCACAGTAATCAAGTCATGACATCAATGCACAATTCCCTGAAAATATCATATATAAAGAGTTTTTTTTTTGCATGCATGCATGCACGATTTTGCCATATTTGCATGCAGCAACTTGACATCTTTGATGCAGAACATCCTGAAAGTCTTTTGTAACTTGTGCTTGGACTGATTTGGTGCTGAATAGTTTATAAAGGATGAAGTATAGCCCATATTTAGTTCTTTTTGTGCATGTTGGGATTTAGCAATTATAGCAACTGTGCATTTATGCATCTTACTTGCTGAATAAACATAGAAATGCATTGTTAAATAAATGAACAAATTCTGATTTTAGTGCTGAGCGATATATGAGATATGACACTTGCGCAACTCAAAAAGTGTGAAATCACTTTAAGTGAAAATGCATTAAATAAATACATAAATCGGGTCTGAAGGAGGGTTGAGATTCCCGCCATTAAGCACATTATATTTTTTTGCAGCTTTATCTCTCGCATTATGAATTGAATTGGCACCGTTTTATGCCAGAACCTGCAGAAAGATATCTGAAGCTCTGGCACAGGTTGTTAATCTGCAGACACATGCTGAGACGGCTGATGATAACTACAGTAACGCTGGTGAGATTTGCACACTCACCACTATATAAATGAGATTGTGTGCTGGTGGAAGCCAAAGAAACATCACGACTGCATTAGCGCGCAGAAACCCAAAGACTTGCTGCACTTTTGGCAGCGAGACCCTGGGAAGAGGAAATGTGGGCGGACCCGTCGGTCATCTGCTTTCTATCTAATGTGAAACACTCTTCAATGAATTTAGATTAAAAAACACATCCATGTATTCAATTTAGCTACAGCAGGTGTTTAAACACACGGCCCACACACACTCTGTGCGCTGTTTCACACAATCTGCCATACTAAATGTGCGCAATTCTGTGAAAGCATTTACATGTTGTAAAACGTGTTGTGCTAATGGGTATCTAAAAGCATTATTGAATTAATTTGAAGGAAATGTGTTAATGACATTCAGACTCCCTGCAGACAGAACTTAAATAACATTTATTATATTAATTATGTGTGCTTTTAAAGACGTATTCTGCTCACCAAGACTGCATTTTTAAAATAAAAAATACAGTAAAAATAGTGAAATATTATTACAATTTAAAATAACTGTTTTCTATGTGAATATATAGTAAAATGTAATTTATATCCTGTGATCAAAGCTGAATTTTCAGCAGTCTTCAGTGTCACATGATCCTTCAGAAATCATTCTAATATGATGATTTGATGATCAAGAAACATTACTGATTATTATCAATGTTGAAAACTTCATAATTTTGGGGAAACTGTGATATATTTATTTTATTATTCAAGATTATTTGATGAATAGAAAGTTCAAATGAACCGCATTTATTTGAAATTGAATCTTTTGTAACATTATGCATGTATTTACTGTTCTTTACTTTACCTGTGGATTGGTTTATGATTTCCTGTAGTCATTACAACTTCTGTTTATATCTGGCTTTTTTAATGCAACACATATACAGCGTGTCTAATGCCAGCTTTGTAAAGTAAATGTTGCGTTCCTGGATTGGATGATGGTGTAACTGTCCCACGAGACCTTCCTTCTTGGAAGATGAGATTGTGTTCCCGAGGGAAACCTGCTGTTTGAGCCCATAGATATTGACATTTCACACTCATCTGAAATCAGTTTTGTGGAAGTGTTTTTGCTATTCTCCTAGCTCTGAAACACATGGAAAAGCGTGTCCTGGAGAGAGTGTGTAGGGAACGGGAAGGCCGCTGAAGACCATGATTGCTTTTTAACCTGCTCCAATTCACTGTTCGCTCCACTGCACCGCTGTGACCGCGAGCAAAGCTGCGGCGTATTAACATGAACTCATCTGTCTTCATTTGTGTTTCACTCTGAAGAGAAGATTTCCTCTATTTCTCTACACCGAGGGTGATTATGTATGTTGTACGACTTTAAAATTGGTTTGGCTGTTTTCTACCTTTTACTTGCACTGTGACCTTTTACTTGATGTAGCGCTTGTATTTTCACATCAGTTCAGGCACTTTATAGTATTTAAATACGACCTATTATACCCTTTATCAAAGTCTTGATGTGTTTTCAGGCTCCACTAGAACAGGTTTTCCTGCTTGAATGTTGATTATTTTCCTCATATTCTCCATTGTTGCGGCTCCTCTCTTCCCAGTCTGTCAGTAACGCTCTGTTTACTTCCTGTCTCTATGAAGCCCCTCCTTCTGAAAAGCAGACTGTGCTCTGATTGGTCGGCTGGAGCAGTGTGTTGTGATTGGTCAAGTGCTTCGAGCATGTTTGGGAAATGTCCCGCCCCTTTCCATAACCACCAGTTTCAACACACTACTAACTAACTCAACCAGGCCCCGCAACTTTATTCTGCGCATTTATTATTTAAATAAGGAATATTGTGACATGTTCATTCTCGGATAAAACTCAAGACTACAATAGAGGCGTTTCAGGGAGTTCAGAAACAGTGACACTGATTAGAGTATAACTCTAGAGCTTTTTCATGCTCAAACAAGAAGCGGATCTTTTTGCAGCAGTATAAATCTTTATTAACCAAAACTCAAAACCCTCAGAACTGAGCTGACAAAGAACAGGCTTAAATAGACCAAACAAACCAATCAAAGAAACAATCCACAGCTATCTAACTGAAACACAGGAAACGGAACTAAACGCACGTGAAACACAGGAAACGGAACTAAACACACGTGAAACACAGTAAAACAGAACTAAACACACGTGAAACACAGGAAACGGAACTAAACACACGTGAAACACAGGAAACGGAACTAAACACACGTGAAACACAGGAAACGGAACTAAACACACGTGAAACACAGTAAAACAGAACTAAACACACGTGAAACACAGGAAACGGAACTAAACACACGTGAAACACAGGAAACGGAACTAAACACACGTGAAACACAGGAAACGGAACTAAACACACGTGAAACAGGAAACGGAACTAAACACACGTGAAACACAGGAAACGGAACTAAACGCACGTGAAACACAGGAAACGGAACTAAACACACGTGAAACACAGGAAACGGAACTAA